GGAGGGGGGCGCCGGGGCCCTCCCCTGGAGGGAGGGGGGCGCCGGGGAGCCTTGCTTACCTAGAAGGAAAGTTGCTGCTCTGCTCTCAACAACTTCTTTTCAAGTGTAGCTGGGGAAAAAGGTCAGTCTAATGGAAAAATAAAACAATGGAAGTGCCCTTAAATCTTTGTTGTGAGAGGTCTGTGAGACCGAATCACTTCATAGTTCTGGAGAGTTTTTTGCATTTGTATGTCTCTTTTAGTTAAGTTTTAATCCTTATCTAAGATGATGCCTTGTGTGAAAAGTCCTCAGTTGTATCAGGGGGCAGGTAATGTAAAGGCTTAAAAAAGATTGTCTGTTTAAGTAGCGAAGAATTGGGCCTCTGTTTTAAGAGAAATGTCTTTACCTGTTCTTCTACAGGTTTGCATCAAGAAGAACATCTATGAGTAGCTCTTCCTATTTCCATGTGCTTCCCCCAAAAACTGGTAACATCTAAGGTTGCTTCCAGGTGCTGGGAAGCAGGCGATGATGCATCTGTTTTCTTAGAAGATTTCTCATTATTTTTGGAAACACTGCTTTTACCAAAGGCAAGAATGCTCTGTTAGGAATCTATATTACTAACATGGACTACAATGGAATGGCTGAATGCAGTTACCTTAAGTTTTTGTGGAGGCCTATTTGTCTTCAAAATAACAAAACTAAAACTTCTGACTTTATCCAGGGGAAAAAAAAAGAGGATGTGCTGGTTATTTGTGTACTTAAGACTCATTCCCTACCTATGACCCTAGCTTAGTTATCTCAGGGGATGAGAAAGGGGAGAAAAATTACTCCTCTTGCAATCATCAAATGAGCTTTCTATGTTCTCTAAAAAAAAAAAAACCACCAAACTAACAAAACCAGGAAGACATAAATCCATATTGAACATTTTAACAAGTTATCTACTTCAAAACTATAATGTATAAAACTTGGATTACTCACTGAACTGAATTGTGTGGTGTGCTTCCTGGGTGTGCCGCGTTGCAGTTGAATTTCAGAATAATGTTCCTTCTTGAATTTGGTAGAGCTTCCTGAAGTTGAAGGCGAGAGACCTGTTGGGAGAGCAGAGCAATGACAACTCTTTCAAGAAACTTAATCTTTTTAAGTTATCTTTTCAAGTAAAGTACACTGATAATTCTCTGCTTTCTAGCTAGATAATGCAAACTAGAGCTTATCAAATAAACCCTGTACCTTAGCTTTTATCAAGTTAGTTTCCCTGCACTTTCACCCCCAACTGTAATATGAACAACTCAAAGCTGTCCTCCTTTGCATTTGCCTTGCCTGTAAAATGAAGTGAACTGCATTTGGTTTCTGCCTTTGTGTGACATGTTTGTGTGCAGTGGGTTGTATCTCAATAGAAGAGTTGGTAATTATTCATTTGCTTTGCTGTAAATTGTTTCGCAGAGTAAGATAACAAATTCAGGATAGAAACTGCAGCTAGTTTACTGAGCTGTAATGCTGCCCTAACGTAATTGCAACTCTATTTTAGTGACTAGGTGATTTTCTTCATGAGGAGAAGATGGCTGCAGGTCATTAGCATGTCATTTTCTGAGGACAAGAAGAACACAAAATAGAAAAAGCCTCCACAGAAAGTTGTACTACTGAGTTTTGGGAGGAAAGTAATCAATAAACTTAACATTGCAATGACGTGTGTGTAGATGTGGTATTTGTTTGCAGAATCAAAAAGTGCGGGTTTGGAAGAGACCTTAAACTCCTAGCCCTGTGCAAGACCAAGACAGTCTCCAATTCCATCTCCACGAACGTTCTCCAAAGGCTACCTTAGCTCACAACTGGAGAAGGGACTGCTGCCACCCCTGTCTGGTACGGTGTGTGCAACCCTAGGGGGAAGACGCTCCGTCTCCCACCTGTCTGTCACCTGACCCAGCTCTATGCTGTCCCTTCAGGGCTGCTTGCTGCCACTGCTTGACTGCTGCCTCCTCTGTGAGGAGCTGTAGCCTGCTGTCAAACCTCCCCTCAGCCTCCTCTGGGCTGAAGTAAGTGTAAAAGCAGGGCAGCTTGTCACAAACCTTTACCCCCTGGCTCTCTCTGTCTTCTATCACAGAAGCAAAAAGGTGGGTGGAAAAGGTCACTAAGATCACCTAGTCTAACCCTCAACTCCTCCCTGCCCCATGCTTAACCTGTGAAACTCAATGCAACAGCAGCCCTTTCATCAGCATCTCAACAAAAAGAGACTGCTCCTGCTCCTCACGCATTCTTGTAGAAAAGAATTTCTTCTACTTTTCAACCAGAACCTCCTCTCGTGTAACTTAGGGCTGTTCCCTAGCACTAAGCTACATGGGAATAAAAGTGGATCTTTCCTTCACTACAGCCTTCTTTGTTGTAGTTGTGGAGAGTGAGCTTTAGCCCTCCACTGGACACTCTAATAAAATATATTTTTTTTAAGCTGTGGTCATAACTGCAGGCAGCACTCGAGGGTGCGCCACTGCAAAGCTCGTGTGGTACAACCAAGCCCAACATGCTGCAGGTACGGCTGGTACTCTTGGGGGCTGGGGCCTGCCACTGGCTGGCGTTTAACTGGTCCTGGAATGCAGCTCTCATTCCTTCCCAAGGGGTGGCTCACCAGCCTCTAATCCTCTAGTCTGCACATATAACTGGCATGGACCCATCCCTGGTGTAGAAACTCATCAACCTTGATGCTACTGTGACTGTACAGCATACTACTGCATTGAGATCTCTGTCCAAAGCCTTTTACCCACAAGGGCTCAAAAGATCCTCCTCATTTAGTGTTGTCCACAGACTTACTCGATCCACACTCAAGTCCCCTATCCTGAAACTGAGAAGAAAGCTGGCTCTGAAAACAAGCCCTGTGCAACTTATCTAGCCACTGTCCACCAAGCTCTAGCAATCCTGTTTAACACTGCGAGCCTCTTCTTATGGGGCCAATTAATAGGTCACTGTTTTGTTGGCTTAAAGAATTGCAATTGGAAATGCTGCTTTCTAAGGCAGAGTTCAGTTTTTAGACATGCTTGCCTGACAGGGATTTTCCTTACATACTCAAACAAGTAACGCACGCTTAGAACTGAACTACATGTGAAGAAATTTCTGTAATCCAGGCATTCTCTTAAGCGGCTGAATACTGCTGAGCAGTGATTAGCTCAGACAAACAGTTAATAAACAAGGAGATGGCAATTAATAACCATAACAGACAGTTGAAGTTAATGGACACATCCTTCTAATACAGGAACATAACACAAGAAGCCTTAATTGGTAATAAATTAACAGCTAATGACTGAAGATCTCCTCCTGCTAACTGTTGGCTGTTTGTAACCCCTACTATCCAAGTTATTTCAATATTCAAATTTTATGCATAGTGATGCTATTACTACATATTCCACTCTTAATACCCTGAATGACTGAGTGACAAGTACAGTTTGCAGGTATAAGGCCTAAAACCACCAAAAAACCCCTTCTGTATTTCCTGGGCGCGCACATTCTGAAGAGAGCTTCCGCAATAACTGCCTTTATAATGAATTTTTCCTTATAAATGGAAGACTCTCTTTAGTGTCTCTTTATCCAGAGGCCCAGGCTGGCTTTAAGTGTATTCTTCTGTCTCTGAATAGAAGAAATGATTTGCTTATCCTTTTTTAAGTGTTTCTTAAAGGTTATGGTGAAACAGAAATCAAAGCTCTAATCTTTAACTCATGTGGGCTTTGCGACCGTGAACAGCATTTCACTGTTTCCAAAATCTGACCCTTGATCCTTCCTTGCTTATGTTGAACATCAGTCCCTAATAGCGCAGGACATGAGGAAGATCTAACTTTCTCCCATATCTATACTCACGTGTGATAATAACGTGCAGTCATTTCACTAACGCATCGCATTGGGTTACCAAGCAAGAACATGAATTCCTCCCCAAAAATGTACACAATGAATTTCAAAGTACAGGCATTTTTAAATACGAAAAAACTCAACCAACCAACCATCCAAGAACAACAGTAGGTCTTTTAAACTTCTTTACCTGATTTAACGGTTCGTAGGTTCTTAAGTATCAGACACCAAAAAACCAGTGGTAGAAGCAGGAAAAATAAGGAAAGAGGAGAGCTACAGACATGGTCTTACACATCTTATTGCTTACAGTATAAGCCATTTAAGTTACCTACACACAGCAGCCTTGGAGAAGCCAAGCAGAACTGCTTCCCAGATAGAAGTGGAATGATGAGAAGAACTTGAAAAGGAATAATCGCTTGGAAAAAATTGAAAGGTAACCGAAAAGAAAATGTAGCGTCTAGCAGCTGAGGGATTAACCACCACGGAGAACTTTCTGCTCCTCCTTCTCCCAGTCACTCCCAAAAAATATTTGAGCTTTTGGTTTTTTAGCTTCAGTAACCCTATACTGAAATGCTGAGGTTCTCTACATGGTATAAAACAGCCCTCAGATTGCCTTTTTATTTTCCTCTTCAGACCACTGGAAGTGTGATTCCACACGAATATCTTACGTGGTCAGAATTTCTGAGTGTGCTCACACCATCCTCTCAACAGATCGCAGATAACTTTATGAATGAGTAACCGGCCAATTAGGGGAAGTTGGGAGCTAATTTAGTTAATTAATTAACAATCAGATAACAAAATAAAAATTAAATTTTCCAAGAAAAAAAAAGAAACAAAGCTGTTTCAGTGGGGCGCTGAAACAAATCACAGTTCTCTGGCTCAGAAGCACTTCTCTGTGTCAGCCTTACAGTTTTGCAAAAGACAGGGAAACAGAAGAGAGCGCTTTGAACTTGGGCTTCCAAACACTAAGTTACTGTATTAGCTATTATTAGCTAATATTAGCTATTTTCTCCCTTGAGCTAAAGACAGTCAGAACTAAAAAATCCCTGTCAGGAAAAATCCCTTGTCCGCTTTGCTAGTAACTTTGAGGAATTTCAGCCGAGAGGCAAAAGCATTCACCTTGGGAGAGGAGTTCCCACGCTTTGGAGTCTCTGTGATCTTAAAGAGGCGCTAAGTATGTACAGAACTCCTATAAAGCGCATAGCGTGTTGGAAGCCTCTGTCTCCACAAAGGGAGGAGGTAACGCCGTACCTAATTGTCAGGACTTAGCAGTGAATGAAATGGGTTTGCAGTAAGGTGCCCCTCAGCCAGCACAAAGCCCCATCTAAAGTCCTGTGCCCTGAAAGTGAGAAATACTGGGAGCTGTTTGAGTGGGTGCAGAAGAAGCCCTAAGGGTGACCTAATGGCTGCAGCATGTCTCCTATGAAGAAAAGTTTATGGAATCGGGTTTGTTTAACTTGGAGAAGAAAAAGCCTCGTCGTGGCCTTCCCAGCACTCGAAGGAAGCTTTACAACAAGAAGGGGATCAACTTCTTACATGATCTGTGTAACAATACAGTGTAATAGAGATCACAACAACAACAGCAGAGTAGCAAAGCCTCTGGCTGCAGCAAATGAAAATGAGCCTAAAAGCAGCAGCTGAAAAACGAAAGGGAAAAAAAGCTGCTTACCCTCAGAAGACCACAAACTCACCAGACAAAAGGTTCCTGCTTCCCCTGCCGACCTTTAAATGAGGTCTGGGAAGGGGTGGATCCTGGTTCCACCCCTTGCAATCGCTCAGGTACATTGGATGCACCTGAGTTTGCCTGCATGGGCCCTGACTTCTCACCAGGTGCTCAATCGCTGCTTCAGGCTGTGACTGGGCATTTCTGCTACAAATGACAGTGATAGGACGAGGCGGGATGGCTTTAAACCAGCAATTTAAACACTGCTGTGAGGCAGTGGCTCGGCGTTCTTAAAAAGGTCGTGACTGCTCCGCCTCTAAAGGCGATCGAGGCCGGGTCAAATGGGGCCCTGGGCATCCTGATCTAGTGCTGGCAGCCCTGCCTGTGGCAGAGGTGTTTGCACTAAGTGATCTTTAAGAGCCTTTACGACACCAGCTTTTCTACCATAGAAATGGATTGATGGAGGCGGAACCGACTCTCTGCTTTTTTACACGTTTACGGTATGTGATTACACAGAGATAGACCATGGTAAGCCACTCCTAAGTTAAGAGCAGAGCACTGATGTGGCTTTCCATCAGGTTTGCTTAGGATAAAATTTTA